TTTGACTATTTTTCTGTCCTGTCTGTTTATTATCTTCCTGCATCTCCTCTCAATCCTAAAGAGAAACTGCTACCTGGGTTCATATATATTCACCTTATGAGTTACCTTTGAACTGCAGTTCTAAAAGATCTACCGACCGCAAAAACAGCGGAGTGCTTGCCGGCCACATCGGTGAGGTGCGTCACCGAGGACAAAACAGGTGATGCGCCCCGCTCCACAGCAGCGAAACAAATCAGGCACAAGTAAAGAAGAAAAGACAGAAAACATAAAAGGAAATGAGCCGACATGAACGATCGCATGTTAAATTAGTTTTTGAGGTGGCGACACCTGATTTGATAATGTTACTGTGGCCGTGCTCAGGACGCAGATGTCTGGAGCACGTCAACAATCAGAGCTTTGCATACGCAAGTTGGTTAATATGAGGTTAGGATGGGGGTGAGGGGAAGGTTAAATTTCAAGAGGGTAAACGTCACAATTTGGTTAAATGTCTGTTTTACGGTGGGTGTCAGTACCGACACTCTGGCACAGCGCGTTGCTTCCCGAAGCGCAGGAGCTTGTCACCTGCTGACAGCAGGCTTCTGTCTTTTCCGAGGACTGCATCTTGCCGGTCATTATCACGTGACAGCGACTAGTCGATGACAGGCATAAAAAGTCACTATAGAGTGGTGAAGTCGACTTGTGACTAGTTCATGCAACCCCTACTGCTCCCCAGAGTGTTCTGCAGCATAATCAGCACGTTCTTTTTGAACTTGATATCTAATTTTCGCCTCCTCTTCGTCTCCGCACCTGCCATGGTTAAAGTTACCCTCACGGTCCATCACTGGCAAATCAAAAGTGAGACTGGTGACAAAAACTCCCCCCTGTGGTACTTGCTTGTTACCACATTCCACCCGGCCACAATACAAAAAACGGCCATTATTCACCTCCGCCAACTCCGACACCGGCCAAAATATGTTACCCGGCCCATTAATTGAATACAGGCCAATATTAGAGGATTTACGGTATTAACAAATAGTTACAGAAGTAAATATTGAATATGATGTCAGCATTTTCCCCACATTTTCTAGATACTGCACCAGTACAATCTCTAAAAAGACTTCAGATGGCCAATTAAGTTATTTTATCTCGCCTTTCTCTATCTCCTTTCTTTTTTAAATGTATTGTAAAAATATTTCCTAGTTGGTGTGGTAACAAAACAGTTCATGAAAATTTCCATAAAAGTCTTTTTTTTATATTAATATTAATTATTGATTAATAGTTATCTCTGTTTTAATGTCAGGTTTCTACCAAGTGTTAGAGATTGTTTGGGGTGCTACCTTAATTAAGTGGTCTTTTTTCCTTTTTACTAAGTACTTTTTAGAATACCAGGACAGGAAGGATGGGGTAGGTTTACGTTTATTAGATTGATACATAAATATTACCAACAAGAAAGTGAACGTTGGTGTGTGTCAGAAAAAGCGTAAGGCGTAATGTCTTTTCTAAAAAAAACTGGTGGTGGGCCGGTCTCCAGTCAAAATGCCCGGGCTGAATTTTTGTCCCAGTCCAGCCCTGAACACACTGTCAAGTCAACCACCTTTTTATATGCAAGGCTGCAAAAAAGAGGTACTCACTGACTCCCCCCTGCGTGGTGGACTCAACCTGAAGTCCGGCGCGTGGAGCCGTAGGCTGAAGGTCGTCTGCAGAGCTATTCAGCCGGCCGGTGGAGCATCACCCAGCTTCCGGCGTGCACAGCGGGTCTTACGGCACCAAAATGTTGGGTAATTTTATTATTCCATCCAGGATTACCTCAAAGAAAGTCCAACACACAAGGGGGTTAGAGTTATCAGGTTATAGATTATCAATACCAATCACCAATAATCAACCATCAGACTTTGCAAAATCGGAGAGAAAGAAGATACACACCAGCTGTCTGTCCGGTCTCTCGACTGGCAAAAGTCTGCAGAAAGGTTTTATTGAAAATACAGAGCACATACACAATAAAAGATAAACACACCCACTCCCTTCACAGACTCTCACCCAGGGAGAAAAACATTCCCAGGTGCTTGGTATAACAGAAGTCTTTCTGATAACAGGACCTGCAGACCTGCAAAGCAAGGTCGAACCTCCCTGCCGGAGCTACAGAGTAATAACAAAATATGATCAAATGAACCTTCGTTTAATTTAAAAACACTAGATGGTGCCCAGACTAAATAATTTCCATACTGCTTGTATCCAATACTGTTTTTACCCAACAAGTAACAGATTGGAAACAGAAATGAACCATACTTAGTTTCTTTGACAAGTTGTATAATTTCTGTTACAAATATAAATATCAAAACCTCCTATAATTGATTTTCTACAGTACCTCAGATCTCAGTATATTCTGTTATATTTCAGCTACAATACCTGTAGATAACTGGCCACTGCAGGGACTACAGTGGTACTTCAGACGTCCATGTCCACCTTCCTTATGAGTGAATGAGTCTCCTGTTAGAACTAACCACGGAGAAGATTGCTTTATCTTATTGTTTGCAGATCTTTCTTTTATTTATTGCGTTTTTATAAAAGAATGATGTCCTTCTGTCATGCGTTTGTTCCTGGGGCCGTCTGTACTAGGTGTGCTTTGACTTCAAAGGGCCAGTCAAGGACGTTTAACTAAAAGCAATTTTAAATAAGCAAATATTGTCTTCAAAATGCAAGAAAAGTCTTCTTTTGATTTTTTTTTAATCAAAGACAAGTAGAAAGATCTTAGTGCCGATATTTGTAGTTTGATTAAGAACTTTTAATGTCCTGATTCAGGATTTTAAGTTCAACAAAGAAACATGAACAGTCTTTTTTTTTTTTTTTTTTTTTTTTTTTGGTTTGTCAGGTTAAAAACACATGAACTTTGTGGAAAAATGCAAATTCATTAAATGAGTTCTGATAAACGCAGAAAATACAAAGAAAGACATTTTGCTTTTCATTTGTTACAAGCTCTGGAAATAGAGCTTTAGGTCGAGGTGAGTCTGACCTCACCCCTGTGGCCCCTCCCATGAGTGATGAGCTCCTGGAAGAGAAAACATAATATGTACTTTAATAGTTTAATATAATTTTACTGTATTGATTTCATGCCATGGCTGCGCAGTGACGCAGTGGTTAGGGCTGTTGCCTTGCAGCGAGAAGGTCCTGGGTTCGATTCCCAGCCTGGGCTCTTTCTGCATGGAGTTTGCGTGTTCTCCCTGTGCATGCGTGGGTTCTCTCCGGGTACTCCGGCTTCATCCCACAGTCCAAAAACATGACTGTTAGGTTGATTGGTCTGTCCAAATTGTCCTTAGGTGTGAGTGTGTGTGTGCATGGTTGTTTGTCCTGTGTGTCTCTGTGTTGCCCTGCGATGGATTGGCTCTCTATCCATGGTGTACCCCACCTACTTGCCTGTTGACTGCACGCGACCCCTCGTGGACAAAGCGGGTTCAGAAGATGGATGGATGGATGATTTCATGACCGGACTAAACTATCTAACCAATGTAAATGAAAGACCTACATGATATTCAGAATAAGAATGCCAGATCTTGATAAACTTAAATCAGCCACTAACTGACTAATGTTTCCTTAAAAGCCTGTCCTTCAGAACTGGTCTTCTTACATTTTATGTGTGAAAATGCAGCAAAACACTCAGAGAACTTTCAGTTAGGATCAGCTTTTTGTGTTAAAGAATTTGTGCCTGAAGGGGTGACGTTTCAGTATGAGAGGCTGAGGCGTGCATAATTAACATATGGAACAGAGAGGGCCTCTTGCTTCCTGGTTTTGCAGATAAGAAAAAATAAACATTTGTAAAACTTGTAAAAGAAAAAAAAAGATTTTAATCAGTTTTTAACAAAATTTGCATTGAAAGATATTTTATTGTGAAAAAAAATCTGTATTTTTGTTTGCAGCAGTGAAAACCAGCATCTGATTTCTGCAGCCATGATCAGGGTGTTGCTATGAAAAGTAATAGGTACACATACGCAACTTACTGCTATTATAGATCAGCTGCTGAGTCTTTAACTCAGGGGTGTCAAATATGCGGGCCGCATCCGGCCCACAAGCGGGTTAAATCTGGCCCGCGAGATGGTTGTGTAAACTTTATTTTCATTCTTTACAATGTAGAGTGAAAATAAACTTATCTTTGTGAGCAAGTTTTCTCTGTAACGAGTATAAATATAACAAAGCTGCGCTCAAGGCTCACACAAGAACTTGAATCCCATCCTGAAGTTGGCCGCCACTCAGGATGTGACTTCTGATGTTGATGTGCTGGTGAAAGCTAAAAGATGTTAAGTAAAATGAGTCAAATCTACTTTAAGTGCTGTATGAAACTGATCTTGTCATGTAATCTGTAAGCTCTTTGAATCACTAAGCAATGTTTTATTTATTGATTTTTTACTTTTTTCAAGTACGCTTCAGGTGTTGTACTTGTACTACACTGTCCTCAGGCTCCAGCCTTGTTTTATATTGATTGTACTAAAACAAAGAAAACAATCTGAAGTTGTTTTTTTATTTACCGGTCCGGCCCACTTGGGACTAGATTTCCCTCTATGTGGCCCCTGAGCTAAAATAAGTATGACACCCCTGCTTTAACTTAAAAAGCAATAAAAAGCTAAATAATCATAGAAGAAGAATAAGTAGATGCCATAACTGCATGCATATCCCTGCATGGAAACTACTATTTATGCATTTACCGGCATAAACTAATACATACAAAAGTTTAAAGTGCGTTTGTCTTTTTGTCTTCATCTATCCTCTTTGACAGAAGTAATTTTTGTCATGTTGGTGCATGCTTAGCATCATGTGCTTGACTCAAAACATAAAGAAAGAGTAGCCTAGCCAGCTTGTTTATGTGCATTTAAAACCAGACTTTTTGGGAGTCTGTCCTGCAGAACTGGTCTCTCTCCCTTTTATGTGTAAAAATGCAGCAAACTCCATGGAAAATATTCAATCAGGAGCCACATATTTGTGTTAAAGAATTGGTGCCACAGGCAGGGATGTGTTAGCATAAAAAGGCTGCGGTACACACAACCATCCTGTGTAACAGAGAGGTTCTCTTGCTAAGTTCCTCCTGGTTTTTACAGGTAAGAAAACAAAACATTCTTAAACTTCTAAAAGAAAATAGAATTTTTGTTGATTGTTGGTAAAATTCACATTCAAAGAAATATTAAGCTTGAAAACAAAACATTTAAATGTCTTTATTTTGTTTTGCAGCTGTGAAAACAGACATCTGATTTCTGCAGTCATGACCAAGCTGGTAAGATGTTATTTGTTGTGTTTTAGATCAAAGGAAAAGACAGTCAAGAGAACTTTGGACATCGCACAACTTGACTTTAAAAATGTTACTTTTTAACCAACTATGTCTTTTTTTACAGATGAGTCTCACTGTTCTTGCAGTTTTGCTGCTTGGTGAGTTTAGACAGTTTTCTAAATATTACAATCGTTCACAAACAAATAAAACCACTAACTGGTATTATTGTTTTGTTTTGTCTAGCCTGTATGAAACCGAGTATCGGAAGTAAGAAAATTTAACTTTAACATACAAATAAATATTAGTCGCATATTTAAGACGTGTTTTTATAATAAATGTCCTTTGCTCCTGAAGTTCCACCGTCACAGGGTCCCATCATTGAGAGACTGTGCTGGACCAGTTGGTACGATCGGGACAATCCAGGTGGAACAGGTGACTGGGAGGATCTGAGGAACCTGCGGAAGGAATACCCTGGAGAGATTTGTCGCAGACCTTTTGAAATTCAGGCTGTCACTGTCATCGGAAACATCCCAGCTGAAAGCACAGGGCAGTACTTCAATGCGTGAGTCTCCTTTGAATTTCCATAATATTAGTTTATAGGTTAGAAAATCAAAAGTCCGTGACTTTCTTTGTAGTTTATTATTGTATCAAATAATCAAAAAAATCTCATTTTAAAACTTCCTTTTACATCATAACAAACATTTTGATTGCTTTAAAACTATAATATGAACTAACTGAGTACTCTCTTATCTTTCAGCTACAATACCTATCTAGGCTTCATTTGCCTCAATGCAGATCAGCCATTTGGTAAAAAATGCAGGGACTACAAGGTTCGCTTCAGATGTCCATGTCGAATTCCAATTGACTGAATCCACGGCTGAAAATGACCTGAAAGAAATGAAAAATGGGATTTTATGCAGATTTTTGTTCCTTTTTCTGTCACTTTAGCAAGTTTTAGTCACTTGTTATTGGGGCCCTTTTACTAACTATGGTGAAAAGTCTGTGGGTGATCTCTATATTTTTTTCAACTGTGAAAAAAATATCTACAGCAATAAAAATGATTAACAAAAGCAAACAGTTTTGGGCTTTTTTTCTGTGAAACATTAAATGTAAGCCACCAATTTACTTTTAACCAGATGTATTCAGAAAAATGGGTTCATCAAATGTTGCTTTACTTTTTAATTTCAACAAAAAAGTAGAATTTTTTTTATTTCCAAAAATATAAAGGAAATCCTTGAAGCCAAAAAAGCTTTTTAGCTGATAAACTTTATAAACAGCATCTAATAGTGCTGTAGACACATGTAGCCATTATTTTGACATTTTGTGCATCTTATTTAAAATATAAATACGCTGCAATAAACTCGGTGTAGCATCCTCTTCAAGTTAAATATCTGCACTACATTTGAAAATGTCATTGTGTCATAAAGATCATAAAAATAAAAGACAAAAGATTTAAAAGAATCTGCTTCTAGACCTGCAGAAAGAGAAAAAAAGGGGACACGCAAAAATACACTGAACAAAAATATAAACGCATATAAACTCTCCAACGTGCCAGACACCATCGAATGTGAGCATTTGCCCACTCAAGTCTGTTACGGCGACGAGCTGGAGTCAGGTCAAGACCCCGATGAAGATGACAAGCATGCAGTTGAGCTTCCCTGAGACGGTTTCTGACTGTTTGTGCAGAAATTGTTTGGTTATGCAAACCAATTGTTTCAGCAGCTGTCTGAGTGGCTGGTCTCAGATGATCTTGGAGGTGAACCTGCTGGATGTGGAGGTCCTGGGCTGGTGTGGTTACACGTGTCTGCGGTTGTGAGGCCGGTTGGATGTACTGCCATATTCTCTGAAACGCCTTTGGAGACGGCTTAGGTTGGAGAAATGAACATTCAATGCACGAGCAACAGATCTGGTTGACATTCCTGCTGTCAGCATGCCAATTGTACGCTCCCTCAATGCTTGTTGCATCTTTGGCATTTTGCTGTGAGACAAAACTGCACAATCCAGGGTGGTCTTTTATTGTGGGCGCTATAAGGCACGCCTGTGCGCTACTCATGATGTCAGATCAGCATCTTGATGTGGCACACCTGTGAGGTGGGATGGATTATCTCAGCAAGGCAGAAGTGCTCATTATCACACATTTAGACTGATTTGTGAACAATGTTTGAGAGAAATGGTAATATTGTGTATCTGGAATGAATTTTAGATCTTTAAGTCCATCTCATGAAAAATGGGAGCATAAACAAAAGTGTTGCGTTGATATTTTTGTTCAGTGTACATACAACTGCATGATTGAATTCAATTCAACTTTATTTATATAGCGCCAAATCATGACAAGAGTCGTCTCAAGGCACTTCACATGGTAAACATTCCAATACAGGTCAGTTCATGAAGCCAGTCAGAAAAATGTTTCCTAAATAAGAAACCCAGCAAATTGCAACAAGTCACTGACTAGTGTGAGTGACTTTATAGCAATCCTCATACTAAGCAAGCATTTAGCGACAGCGGAGAGGAAAACTCCCTTTTAACAGGAAGAAACCTCCAGAGGATCCTGGCTCAGTACAAGCAGCCATCCACCACGACTCACTGGGGATCGAGAAGACAGAGCAGACACATACACACACACACACACACACACACACACACACACACACACACACACACACACACACATCTAGGGACAATTTAGAGAAAACAGTCAGCCTGACAGAAATGTTTATGGACTGTGGTAGGAAGTTAGAGAACCCGGAGAGAACCCATGCATGCACAGGGAGAAAATGCTAACTCCATGCAGAAAGACCCCAGGTTGGGAGTTGAACCCATGACCTTCTTGCTGCAAGGCAACAGCACTAAGCACTGCACCAATGTGCAGCCCTCATCCAAGCCAATACATTTGTTAATATAATCTACATTTTAGACATGCAATGTAAAATAACTGGTCCACGGTAAACCTCATCATCTTGATGAAGATGAACCAGATGGAACGATGACTGGGAGCCTTTGAAGAACCTAACAAAGAAGCACTCAAGAAGTATTTGTGATAGACTTTTGGACATTCAGGCAGGTATCGTTTACGGGCACCTTTCAGCTGAAAGGACAAGACAAAAAATCTTTGAGCTAGTCAAAAAATTTTAAGAGTAGCAAATTAGAAACAGAAATGAACCATACTTAGTTTCTTTGACAAGTTGTATAATTTCCGTTGCAAATATAAATATCAACACCTCCTATAGTTGATCTTCTACACTACCTCAGATCTCAGTATCTTCTGTTATATTTCAGCTACAATACCTGTAGATGACTGGCCGCTGCAGGGACTACAGTGGTACTTCAGACGTCCATGTCCACCTTCCTTATGAGTGAATGAATCTCCTGTTAGAACTAACCACGTAGAAGATTGCTTTATCTTCATGTTTTGCAGATCTTTCTTTTATTTATTGCATTTTTATAAAAGAATGATGTCCTTCTGTCATGCGTTTGTTCCTGGGGCCGTCTGTACTAGGTGTGCTTTGACTTCCAAGGGCCAGTTGAGGACTTCTAACTAAAAGCAATTTTAAATAAGCAAATATTGTCTTCAAAATGCAAGAAAAGTCTTCTTTTGATTTTGTTAATCAAAGACAAGTATAAAGATCTTAGTGCTGAAATTTGTAGTTTGATTAAGAACTTTTAATGTCCTGATTCGGGATTTTTAAGTTCTACAAAGAAAAGTGAACATAGAGTCTTTTTTTTTTTTTTGGTTTTTCAGGTTAAAAACACAAGAACTTTGTGGAAAAATACAAATAATCATTAAATGAACTCTGATAAATGCAGAAAATTCACAGAAAGACCTTTAGTTTTTAATTTGTAACAAGCTCTGGAAATAGAGCTTTAGGTCGAGGTGAGTCTGACCTCACCCCTGTGGCCCCTCCCACGAGTGATGAGCTCCTGGAAGAGAAAGCATAATATGTACTTTAACAGTCTAATATAATTTTACTGTATTGATTTCATTCCCAGACAAAACTATCTAACCAATGTAAGTGAAAGACCTACATGATCTTCAGAATAAGAACGCCAGATCTTGATAAACTCAAATTAGCCACTAACATCTGACTAATGTTTCCTTAAAAGCCTGTCCTGCAGAACTGGTCTTTTTCCATTTTATGTGTGAAAATGCAGCAAAACACTCAAGAGAACATTCAATTAGGATCAGCTTTTTGTGTTAAAGAATTTGTGCCTGAAGGGGTGACGTATCAGTATGAGAGGCTGAGGCATGCATAACCTACATATGGAACAGAGAGGGCCTCTTGCTTCCTGGTTTTGTAGGTGAGAAAAATTAAACATTTCCTAAAACTTCTAAAAGAAAAAAAAAATAACAATTTTATCAGTTTTTAACAACATTTGCATTGAAAGATATATTTATTGTGAAAAAAATGTCAGTATTTTTGTTTGCAGCAGTGAAAATCAGCATCTGATTTCTGCAGCCATGATCAGGGTGTTACTATGAAAAGTAATAGGTACACATACGCAACTTACTGCTATTATAGGTCAGCTGCTGAGTCTTTCACTTAAAAAACAATAAAAAGCTAACTAATCATAATCATAACTGCATGCTGCATGGAAACTAATCTTTATGCATTTATGCACCAGCGTAAATTAATACATATAAAAGTTTAAAGTGCGTTTGCCTTTTTGTCTTCATCTATCTTCTTTGACAGAAGTAATTTTTGTCATGTTGGAGCATGCTTAGCATCATGTGCTTGAGTCAAAACATAAAGAAAGAGTAGCCAAGCTAGCTTGTTTATGTGCATTTAAAACCAGACTTTTTGGGAGTCTGTCTTGCAGAACTGGTCTCTCTCCCTTTTATGTGTAAAAATGCAGCAAACTCCATGGAAAATATTCAATCAGGAGCCACATATTTGTGTTAAAGAATTGGTGCCACAGGCAGGGATGTGTTAGCATAAAAGGCTGAGGTACACACAACCATCCTGTGTAACAGAGAGGTTCTCTTGCTAAGCTCCTCCTGATTTTTACAGGTAAGAAAACAAAACATTCTTAAACTTCTAAAAGAAAATAGAATTTTTATTGATTGTTGGTAAAATTCACATTCAAAGAAATATTAAGCTTGAAAACAAAACATTTAAATGTCTTTATTTTGTTTTGCAGCTGTGAAAACAGACATCTGATTTCTGCAGTCATGACCAAGCTGGTAAGATGTTATTTGTTGTGTTTTAGATCAAAGGAAAAGACAGTCAAGAGAACTTTGGACATCGCACAACTTCACTTTAAAAATATTACTTTTTAACCAACTATGTCTTTTTTTACAGATGAGTCTCACTGTTCTTGCAGTTTTGCTGCTTGGTGAGTTCAGACAGTTTTCTAAATATTACAATCGTTCACAAACAAATAAAACCACTAACTGGTATTATTGTTTTGTTTTTTCTAGCCTGTATGAAACCGAGTATCGGAAGTAAGAAAATTTAACTTTAACATGCAAATAAATATTAGTCGCATATTTAAGACGTGTTTTTATAATAAATGTCCTTTGCTCCTTAAGTTCCACCGACACAGGGTACCGTCATTGAGAGACTGTGCTGGACCAGTTGGTACGATCGGGACAATCCAGGTGGAAAAGGTGACCTGGAGGATCTGAGGAACCTGCGGAAGGAATACCCTGGAGAGATTTGTCGCAGACCTTTTGAAATTCAGGCCGTCACTGTCATCGGAAACATCCCAGCTGAAAGCACAGGGCAGTACTTCAATGCGTGAGTCTCCTTTGAATTTCCATAATATTAGTTTATAGGTTAGAAAATCAAAAGTCCTTGACTTTGTTTTTAGTTTATTATTGTATCAAATAATCAAAAGAAATCTCATTTTAAAACTTCCTTTTACATCATAACAAACATTTTGATTGCTTTAAAACTATAATATGAACTAACTGAGTACTCTCTTATCTTTCAGCTACAATACCTATCTAGGCTTCATTTGCCTCAATGCAGATCAGCCATTTGGTAAAAAATGCAGGGACTACAAGGTTCGCTTCAGATGTCCATGTCGATTTCCAATTGACTGAATCCACGGCTGAAAATGACCTGAAAGAAATGAAAAATGGGATTTTATGCAGATTTTTGTTCCTTTTTCTGTCACTTTAGCAAGTTTTAGTCACTTGTTATTGGGGCCCTTTTACTAACTATGGTGAAAAGTCTGTGGGTGATCTCTATATTTTTTTCAACTGTGAAAAAAATATCTACAGCAATAAAAATGATTAACAAAAGCAAACAGTTTTGGACTTTTTTTTCTGTGAAACATTAAATGTAAGCCACCAATTTACTTTTAACCAGATGTATTCAGAAAAATGGGTTCATCAAATGTTTCTTTACTCTTTAATTTCAACAAAAAAGTAGATTTTTTTAAATTTCCAAAAATATAAAGGAAATCCTTCAAGCCAAATAGGCTTTTTAGCTGATAAACTTTATAAACAGCATCTAATAGTGCCATGTAGCCATTATTTTGACATTTTGTGCATCTTATTTAAAATATAAATACGCTGCAATAAACTCGGTGTAGCATCCTCTTCAAGTTAAATATCTGCACTAAATTTGAAAATGTCATTGTGTCATAAAGATCATAAAAATAAAAGACAAAAGATTTAAAAGAATCTGCTTCTAGACCTGCAGAAAGAGAAAAAAAGGGGACACGCAAAAATACACTGAACAAAAATATAAACGCATATAAACTCTCCAACGTGCCAGACACCATCGAATGTGAGCATTTGCCCACTCAAGTCTGTTACGGCGACGAGCTGGAGTCAGGTCAAGACCCTGATGAGGATGACGAGCATGCAGTTGAGCTTCCCTGAGACGGTTTATGACTGTTTGTGCAGAAATTGTTTGGTTATGCAAACCAATTGTTTCAGCAGCTGTCTGAGTGGCTGGTCTCAGATGATCTTGGAGGTGAACCTGCTGGATGTGGAGGTCCTGGGCTGGTGTGGTTACACGTGTCTGCGGTTGTGAGGCCGGTTGAATGTACTGCCATATTCTCTGAAACGCCTTTGGAGACGGCTTAGGTTGGAGAAATGAACATTCAATGCACGAGCAACAGATCTGGTTGACATTCCTGCTGTCAGCATGCCAATTGTACGCTCCCTCAATGCTTGTTGCATCTTTGGCATTTTGCTGTGAGACAAAACTGCACAATCCAGGGTGGTCTTTTATTGTGGGCGCTATAAGGCACGCCTGTGAGGTGGGATGGATTATCTCAGCAAAGCAGAAGTGCTCATTATCACACATTTAGACTGATTTGTGAACAATGTTTGAGAGAAATGGTAATATTGTGTATCTGGAATGAATTTTAGATCTTTAAGTCCATCTCATGAAAAATGGGAGCATAAACAAAAGTGTTGCGTTGATATTTTTGTTCAGTGTACATACAACTGCATGATTGAATTCAATTCAACTTTATTTATATAGCGCCAAATCATGACAAGCGTCGTCTCAAGGCACTTCACATGGTAAACATTCCAATACAGGTCAGTTCATGAAGCCAGTCAGAAAAATGTTTCCTAAATAAGAAACCCAGCAAATTGCAACAAGTCACTGACTAGTGTGAGTGACTTTATAGCAATCCTCATACTAAGCAAGCATTTAGCGACAGCGGAGAGGAAAACTCCCTTTTAACAGGAAGAAACCTCCAGAGGATCCTGGCTCAGTACAAGCAGCCATCCACCACGACTCACTGGGGATCGAGAAGACAGAGCAGACACATACACACACACACACACACACACACACACACACACACACACACACACACACACACACACACACACATCTAGGGACAATTTAGAGAAAACAGTCAGCCTGACAGAAATGTTTATGGACTGTGGTAGGAAGTTAGAGAACCCGGAGAGAACCCATGCATGCACAGGGAGAACATGCTAACTCCATGCAGAAAGACCCCAGGTTGGGAGTTGAACCCAGGACCTTCTTGCTGCAAGGCAACAGCACTAAGCACTGCACCAATGTGCAGCCCTCATCCAAGCCAATACATTTGTTAATATAATCTACATTTTAGACATGCAATGTAAAATAACTGGTCCACGGTAAACCTCATCATCTTGATGAAGCTGAACCAGATGGAACAATGACTGGGTGCCTTTGAAGAACCTAACAAAGAAGCACTCAAGAAGTATTTGTGATAGACTTTTGGACATTCAGGCAGGTATCGTTTACGGGCACCTTTCAGCTGAAAGGACAAGACAAAAAATCTTTGAGCTAGTCAAAAAAATTTAAGAGTAGCAAATTAGAAACAGAAATGAAGCATACTTAGTTTCTTTGACAAGTTGTATAATTTCTGTTGCAAATATAAATATCAACACCTCCTATAATTGATCTTCTACACTACCTCAGATCTCAGTATCTTCTGTTATATTTCAGCTACAATACCTGTAGATGACTGGCCGCTGCAGGGACTACAGTGGTACTTCAGACGTCCATGTCCACCTTCCTTATGAGTGAATGAATCTCCTGTTAGAACTAACCACGTAGAAGATTGCTTTATCTTCATGTTTTGCAGATCTTTCTTTTATTTATTGCATTTTTATAAAAGAATGATGTCCTTCTGTCATGCGTTTGTTCCTGGGGCCGTCTGTACTAGGTGTGCTTTGACTTCCAAGGGCCAGTTGAGGACTTCTAACTAAAAGCAATTTTAAATAAGCAAATATTGTCTTCAAAATGCAAGAAAAGTCTTCTTTTGATTTTGTTAATCAAAGACAAGTAGAAAGATCTTAGTGCTGAAATTTGTAGTTTGATTAAGAACTTTTAATGTCCTGATTCGGGATTTTTAGGTTCTACAAAGAAAAGTGAACATAGAGTCTTTTTTTTTTTTTGGTTTTTCAGGTTAAAAACACAAGAACTTTGTGGAAAAATACAAATAATCATTAAATGAACTCTGATAAATGCAGAAAATAAACAGAAAGACCTTTAGTTTTTAATTTGTAACAAGCTCTTGAAATAGAGCTTTAGGTCGAGGTGAGTCTGACCTCACCCCTGTGGCCCCTCCCACGAGTGATGAGCTCCTGGAAGAGAAAGCATAATATGTACTTTAACAGTCTAATATAATTTTACTGTATTGATTTCATTCCCAGACAAAACTATCTAACCAATGTAAGTGAAAGACCTACATGATCTTCAGAATAAGAACGCCAGATCTTGATAAACTCAAATTAGCCACTAACATCTGACTAATGTTTCCTTAAAAGCCTGTCCTGCAGAACTGGTCTTTTTCCATTTTATGTGTGAAAATGCAGCAAAACACTCAAGAGAACATTCAATTAGGATCAGCTTTTTGTGTTAAAGAATTTGTGCCTGAAGGGGTGACGTATCAGTATGAGAGGCTGAGGCATGCATAACCTACATATGGAACAGAGAGGGCCTCTTGCTTCCTGGTTTTGTAGGTGAGAAAAAATAAACATTTCCTAAAACTTCTAAAAGAAAAAAAATAACAATTTTATCAGTTTTTAACAACATTTGCATTGAAAGATATATTTATTGTGAAAAAAATGTCAGTATTTTTGTTTGCAGCAGTGAAAATCAGCATCTGATTTCTGCAGCCATGATCAGGGTGTTACTATGAAAAGTAATAGGTACACATATGCAACTTACTGCTATTATAGGTCAGCTGCTGAGTCTTTCACTTAAAAAACAATAAAAAGCTAACTAATCATAATCATAACTGCATGCTGCATGGAAACTAATCTTTATGCATTTATGCACCAGCGTAAATTAATACATATAAAAGTTTAAAGTGCGTTTGCCTTTTTGTCTTCATCTATCTTCTTTGACAGAAGTAATTTTTGTCATGTTGGAGCATGCTTAGCATCATGTGCTTGAGTCAAAACACAAAGAAAGAGTAGCCTAGCCAGCTTGTTTATGTGCATTTAAAACCAGACTTTTTGGGAGTCTGTCTTGCAGAACTGGTCTCTCTCCCTTTTATGTGTAAAAATGCAGCAAACTCCATGGAAAATATTCAATCAGGAGCCACATATTTGTGTTAAAGAATTGGTGCCACAGGCAGGGATGTGTTAGCATAAAAGGCTGAGGTACACACAACCATCCTGTGTAACAGAGAGGTTCTCTTGCTAAGCTCCTCCTGATTTTTACAAGTAAGAAAACAAAACATTCTTAAACTTCTAAAAGAAAATAGAATTTTTATTGATTGTTGGTAAAATTCACATTCAAAGAAATATTAAGCTTGAAAACAAAACATTTAAATGTCTTTATTTTGTTTTGCAGCTGTGAAAACAGACATCTGATTTCTGCAGTCATGACCAAGCTGGTAAGATGTTATTTGTTGTGTTTTAGATCAAAGGAAAAGACAGTCAAGAGAACTTTGGACATCGCACAACTTCACTTTAAAAATATTACTTTTTAACCAACTATGTCTTTTTTTACAGATGAGTCTCACTGTTCTTGCAGTTTTGCTGCTTGGTGAGTTCAGACAGTTTTCTAAATATTACAATCCTTCACAAACAAATAAAACCACTAACTGGTATTATTGTTTTGTTTTTTCTAGCCTGTATGAAACCGAGTATCGGAAGTAAGAAAATTTAACTTTAACATACAAATAAATATTAGTCGCATATTTAAGACGTGTTTTTATAATAAATGTCCTTTGCTCCTTAAGTTCCACCGACACAGGGTCCCATCATTGAGAGACTGTGCTGGACCAGTTGGTACGATCGGGACAATCCAGGTGGAACAGGTGACTGGGAGGATCTGAGGAACCTGCGGAAGGAATACCCTGGAGAGATTTGTCGCAGACCTTTTGAAATTCAGGCCGTCACTGTCATCGGAAACATCCCAGCTGAAAGCACAGGGCAGTACTTCAATGCGTGAGTCTCCTTTGAATTTCCATAATATTAGTTTATAGGTTAGAAAATCAAAAGTCCTTGACTTTGTTTTTAGTTTATTATTGTATCAAATAATCAAAAGAAATCTCATTTTAAAACTTCCTTTTACATCATAACAAACATTTTGATTGCTTTAAAACTATAATATGAACTAACTGAGTACTCTCTTATCTTTCAGCTACAATACCTATCTAGGCTTCATTTGCCTCAATGCAGATCAGCCATTTGGTAAAAAATGCAGGGACTACAAGGTTCGCTTCAGATGTCCATGTCGATTTCCAATTGACTGAATCCACGGCTGAAAATGACCTGAAAGAAATGAAAAATGGGATTTTATGCAGATTTTTGTTCCTTTTTCTGTCACTTTAGC